TTTTTTTTTTTTTTTTTTTTTTGTTACAGGAAAATGATGATTGATTGAATTAAAATTGTGAGTTATTTGTATTTTTTCAATAAAAGCAAAGCAATTAATTCTGTATATTGATTGTGTTTTTCATCTTATTCTGAACCTGTAGATGTCCAGTTCCTACCAGTATCTGGTCTTCCTGGTTCCAACATGAAAATGAGACTGGACAAGAGTGTATGCCCCTGGTGGAATGGCCCCGGCCTCTTTGAAGCTCTGGATGTAGTTGAAATTCGTCCTAGGGATCCAAAAGGTCCTTTTCGGTATGATTTATTGCTGTAGGAATTCATACAACTCCAGGAAGTAAGTATAATTGTATAACTATACCCTTTCTCCTTTTGTTATAGAAAAGGCTACATAGTTACTTATAAGGACTCTGACTATTTCTTGAGTCCCTATGACTTTGATTCCAAACATAAGATAAGTAACTAAATAACTGGCTAGGATTCTTAGAAAATGAAACCTAAAAAATCTAACTCCTAAAGATCCTAGAATGACCAAAATGTACCCAAATTATATTTTAAAATGAAAACCAAAGTCATGGAACTGATATTATATTAATTCTGCCCCTGAACATAGAAAAACTTAAGTATAATAAATTGCTAAAATTAAAGTGACTCAACATAGATTCTGAGTTATCAAGGTTGTATCAATCTTTGATTTCACATCTATTAACTATATGTTTTCTAAATATGCAGGATGCCTATAATTGACAAATTTAAAGACATGGGAACCGTCGTAATGGGAAAGGTTGAATCTGGTGCCATGCGTGAGGGTGATTCCTTATTGGTCATGCCAGACAAGGTGCTTAGTCTTTCCCTTAATTTCTTTATTTGTTTATTTATTGTTAAACCTCGAGTCTGAAGTCCAAGATGCATGGATGGCAGGCTCAAGTGAAAGTTCTTGCCATTTACTATGATGAAGATAAGGCTACACGTGCTGGACCTGGTGAAAATCTGCAGGTTAAGTTATCAGGATTTCCAGAAGAGGACATATTATCTGGTTTTGTCTTGTGTAGTGTTGGTAAGTGCTCCTAGAGATTGTAAAAACTGAAGGCTCTCATGTTTGATCCCCTAAAGAGGAAATTAGATTATAAAAAGTAGAGTTAAAATGTAAATGGTAGGATAATTCACAAATTTGTTTGCAGAAATATTTCCATTCTTTTGTAGTTTTTGATATCAATGCTGGGACTATCCTAACAATTAAAATGTCTTGGCCTCACCATCCCTCTCTATGCTTAATTTTCTAATTTTGATTGTGAAGTGTTATTTGTGATTTTGTTTAAGTTTTGCTGAATTATATCTTTTTTTTTTCTTTTTCATTTTTACTCAGCAAAACCAATAGCAACAGTCACTGAATTTACAGCCCAGCTGCAGATCTTTGAGTTGCTTGACAATGTATGAATGAATCCACTTTATGAAGTCCTCTCTCATGTGTAATCTCTTAGTTCATTTGATTAACTTTGCATCTAATGGTATTGGACTGTCTCTGCTATACTAGGCAATACTCACAGCTGGGTGTAGAGCTGTCTTGCACATTCATTCTGTTGTTGAGGAATGCAAAATTGTTGAGCTGCTACAACAAATTGATCCCAAGACAAAGAAACCCATGAAAAAGAAAGTTCTATTTGTTAAGAATGGTGCTGTTATTGTTTGCCGCATTCAGGTTTACTTCTTGCCTTTTCACTCTTTGGGAAATTCCAATGTGTATTCTCCGACATTTGGAATTATCTAGAATTATGAATGTTTTCCATTCAACACGGTATCATCCTCCTGCTTGATAATTGTGGAACTGCTATAATTTCTATGCATATGAAAGCTCTAGCATTGCTCTGTTATGTATGCACCTTCCAAGCTTTCAAAGGTCTGAAGTGATCGGAATCTCCAACCAATATTACATTTTGTCAAATGGTTTTCACTGGCGGTTTATTTTTAACAGGGAAAGAAGTTTTTCTTTGAAGTAGAGACTAGCCCAATTATATTTGAAGCATTTCTGTGTTTGAAATTTGGTTCATGAATTATGTCTTTTTGGCAATATCATCTCGGGTGAAGAACTTGATTTGTGTTGAGAGATTCTCAGATTTTGCACAACTTGGAAGGTTTACTCTTCGAACTGAAGGTAAGTGACTGCATTTTCATTATCCATGAATTGCCCTTGGCATGCCATGTGTAATTTGGATTACTGTGTCTATGGGAAAAACAGTTGCAGTAGGAAAAGTCATGGACATTCCTTCAAGTGCTAGTGCATAAAAAAGCTTTGTTGCTAGAGGTGAGAAATTAGATTTATAGTTTATTTTGAAAAATACAACCTCTAATGGGATGTTTAACGAATGGCTAATTCACTCTGACAGGTACATCTACCGGCAGGTACGTCCACTAGACTCTCCTTATGAATAGGTTTAAGTTGCAACACAGATCTTAAATGATGTTGCCGCGTTAACAATATATTGATGTCTTAAGGAGAGGTGAGGTGCCAATGCCAGATGGGCTAGGCATTGGTACTTTTTATACACTTATGGGAATGTAATTTTTAACTTATACACCCATTGGCATTTTTAGAACACATGATTGTAATGCATGGTTTTCACATCAGTTTGTTGGAAAATATTTAGTTTTGGTTTGGGCATTGGTTGCCATGAAAGCATTTCGTTTGTCATTTAGGTTTTGGTACAATATTTATGAGTGTAAAAGCTTATTTACTGCTCTTTCATCGTCTATGGCATCCTGGTTGTAAATTGAACTGGCAGATAGAATACAAAGTGGTAAGCCTTGCCGTTATTTTGCATTAGTTGGTAAGAGCACATTTAGCCACCCTATCTGCAACCTGATTAGCTTGTCTATAAATATGTACAAGACATGAAGGAAATTTGGCAGAAAGCATCGAGATGAAGTGAACCACGGCTCAATTTGCCAAGGAAAAGGAGAGCTTTCTATTAATCACAAGAGATTAACATCCTGTTATCAGATGAACTTCTGTAAATATGTTGGAATCTGGGACATGTTTTAATAGATGAAAATTATTAGGCGAACTAGGAATGACGCTAAAATCAGGCTTCAATATGCAATTAATAATAATGGGTTAAATTAGAAAAAAAAAATTATTTTTTATTTTTAAAATTAGAAAATGACTTTTAAGGTTCACTTGGTTTGTGAAAAATAACGTGACTTCCTCCTGGAAAATATTCTTCATAGAAAATATTTTCTTTTCTGGAAGTTATTTTCTAGTATTTGAAATACTTTGGAAATATTTTTATGAGAAATATTTTTCATCTTTTTGTTTTGTAATGGAAATGAAAATATTTTAGTGTGTACTCTTTCGTTGGATTTTTCCCTTGTTGATCAAGATTTAATTTTATGAGGATATTGATAGAAAAAGTTATAAATTCTTTAGTTTTTACATAAATATCTTGTTTTTTATAAAAAAATAATAAATTAATTTTAAAGTATATACGAATTAATGAAGAAACATTTTACCCATTAAACAAATAAAATATTATTAGTTAAGTAGTAAAATGATAAAGTTATATATATTTTTAATCATAAATTTAAAATTTAATATTTAAAATATTTAAAAAATAAAATAAATCAATTGTAAGTTGTGAGGAATTTACACGGTATAAAGTTGTCTCCGTTTTTTAGGAAATAAAAGTTGTCTTTTTCATGTCTGAAGGCCACAAAGATTGAAGCCCAATGGTCAAGGGAAATTCTTTTAAAAAAATAAAAAATAAAAAATAAAAACAGGACAGTTCGGGAAAATAAAGGATGAGATTCATGGAATTTAAAATTATAATAAGGTGATCCCTATTAAATTAAAGATTTTGGTTACTAGTTATAGCGTGAAGATCAATAGTAAAGGGAAATTCATGTGTTCATGTGTTGTCCAGTCGGTAATTTTAGCAAAATTCGGGCTGGTTTGTTGCTTTAATAATGGTGCAGAAAGACATGGGTCGGACCTAAAAGGTCAGCGTGTTTTCCCCCTTTTTTTTCAACAGCCACAAATTAGAATAGGGAGTGGGAAATTTTGGCATGATAGACAGGACTCGAAACCTTAAATGCTGAGATATTGGATGCATCTACCAACTGCATCTGTAGGTTTTGAAGAAAATAAGTTTCAGATTTTACGAAGGAGATTATCCGTTGACTTTAAAGATTTTTCGCTGACTATGATTTTCTGTGTGTTAAACACTAAAAAATGAGAAATATATTTTTAGAAATTATTTTTTAAAACTAAATCGACCTTTAATTTCTGAAAAATTTTGAGTAAAAAATTAAGTTTTTTTTTTTTTTTTGAACAATTTTACAATGAATCAGATTCAACCATTGCTCGGGGGAAAAGAAATACACTTAAATGTAATTTGATACCACTAGACCCGAAAACTCAAATGCACGTAAAAAATTAAGTTCTCTATTAGACAGACTACCCGAATTTTCTTAAATACTCCTACTATCATGCATGGAACATTAAGTTTGAACTTGATGGACATTTTAGTAATTTAATTCATTTTCCTAATTTTGTTGACTCTATTTTTTGTTTCTATCAACTTTCGTCGCAACTTAGTCATATGATACTAAAATTGTCAATTGAAATAAACAAAATTTAATTTAATAAGATAATTTTTCCTCAAATACAATTCTTAGAATTAAAAATAAATAAAATTTAAAGGCATTCTTTTTCAATATAATTAAAACTACAAATGAAATTCATTTATGCTGAAGACTAAATCGCATCACAGTTAATAACTCCACTAGTAAAACTGGCATCTTTGTAAAACCAGTGCATTGCAATCGTTAATTTTCTCTCATATAAAATAAAATACATAGAAGAAAACAACAAGAAAACCTTGTTATGTCCTACTAACATGGCCTGATATCGATGCCTTGAACATATAGACCGCCCACAGAGTGACCATCAAACGAGAAAATATATATTTCCAATTCTTCAAGTTCTCCTCCATTGAAGAATTCACCCAACCCTACCTCAAACCAACCATCTCCCCTCACTTTTGGGTACTGCTCACCATTTTGTACTACATCTCCACTATCTATAACATACACAATTCGCTTTGAAACTTGAGTTCCACCAATTCGAACAGTAGCTTCTATGGGTTTATTCTGAAATCCTATAGCACGGGCTACCAGTTTGTACACTAGGAAGGCATTATAACGTGTCATTGGGGAGAGATTGCAACAATCAATCCTCCCAGTGATTTCGAACCAACAGACAACAAGAAGCTTCGCAACCTCAGGAAACCTGTTTGAAAATTGTAAGCATGAATGATGAATCATATTATCACATATCTATTTGTTTTAGTTTCGAAAGGAGACTTTATAAAGCAATCACGCGTTGGCCTGCTTGAATAATTTTGGTTCTAAATGACTAAATATATGTATGCGTTTTGTGTAATGCATGTTTTTGTGTGTTTCCTGTGGGGTTGAAAGAGATACCTGGAATCGGGTCTGGAGATCCACGTCCAGTAAGGAGGAGTATCACCCCACGTAATTGCAAGGTTCCTAGGAGCTAGCATGTAACATTTTTTCCCACTTCTTTTGTCCAATGAAAAGCTCTGTGCAATGTATGTGATATGATTAGAGACTCAACACTAGTATTGCAAAATAATAGTATGGAAAAGACTACTGATCAGCTTCAATTCAAGATGTCTACCAATTAAACAATGAACAAAAGGATCACATAAAACTCACCATAGAAAGGACATAAAAATTGTTAATCATTAGATTAATAACATGAACATAATTATCTTTCAAAGCATAGTCCATAAGAATTAAGAAACATAGGCAACAACCATGAAGTTCTGTAAATTGCCTAAAAAGCACTAAGCTATTTTTATTTAATTAGTCTTTATTCTTGATCATCTTCATTTGGGGTAACGCTATAATGCCATGGAGCTAACTCTCGGAATACCAATAAAATACAGCAACCATGGCCTTGTACAATTATGATGTGTCATTATACTATAGTATGCATCTGCATCCATTCTTCTAATAACACATCCGTAAGTTTTGTAAATTATATCAATAAAAATCTTTGTAGTTAGCTGCTTCACATAGACATGAATTCAGGACCATCAACACCAAAGAAAATTACACCAAGTCATGGCATCTTAACAAGACATATAGCTACACAAAATAAATGTTAAAAGTCCTCAAGAAGTTTGTTAAAAAAAAATGTTAAAAGTATTGTTTAGCGAACTAAAATAACGTTTTTTTTGGTAAAAACGTAGCTCCATTAGCTATACACACCAATTGATCCAAAAAGGAAGGCATTATCAGAATTAGGTTTTTTCAAGCTTACAAACTGAGTTGATTCATACTCAATCCAAACAATGAAATCTTACAATATGCATATGTCGAGTGAATGCATATCTGAGTCAAGAAGCTTGCTGAGTGAAAAACTGAAAAGAGCCAATGATTAACACTACCTAACATTGTAAGATTTAGGACTGTAAGAAAACATGTACTCCCTCTTCTCTAGTCTGATTTAGTTATTCTAGTTTGAATTTTGCATAAAGTTTGACCTTATGCAAATTAGAATTGATGTGTAGTTCGTCCTCACACTTTAATACTATAACCAAGGGGCAAAATGTACATCTTATAACTACTGATGAGGGGCAGGTCCTTATATTGGGAGAGTCCCCTTACATCAATGGTACAGTCTGTCTAAATTGTCCCCAAGTCCTTACTCTAAACATAAAATCAAAAAACTCTATTGTTTTGGACGGA